CCATTCCCCCCCCCCCCCGATTTTACAAGCTCAGCCACCAATTCACCACCAGATACAATTGAGCGGGTTAAAAAGCTTAATACTAAGTTTCTCAATGATCTAAAGAAGATTGAGCATCTATCTCAAAGCGTTCAGAGGCATATTCGACGGAGTGCAGATGCAAATACGCTTTTGTCCCAAGAGGTTGAATTGTTAAAGGCCTCTTTGAAGAAGGCTCAGTTCCACAAATCAACTGTAAATACACCAAAAAATGGGAAATCGCTTCTTAGGACTAAAGGCAGTGTCCTATCACCTATGTGTGCAAATAGGATGATGGTAAAAAGACAGGATGCCGATGCTAAGAAGCTAAAGCGGCTACAGGCAAAACAGGCCAAAGAATTGGAAGCCCAACAACGGGCCCAGGAAGCAAGGGATTTATTAGAAGCTGAGCATGAAGCTTCAATGGCGGCAAGAGATAGTCACAATGGAAATTGGTATATAGATAGTCATGGTGGTTACATGTAAATAGTATTTTTATTGAATGAAAAATTGGAAATTTTGCGTTTGGTGGGGCGCACCAACTACCCAGGATGGGGGGTTGGGCGCTTGGCACGGTTACATAAAGCTTGGATGCAGAAGTAAAAAGGAGAGGCCGAACACCATGGCTAATGTTGAAATTGTCGCAGTGCAGCAGTCGCGGTGGCGAGTCTTTTATCGGTGCCCTGGATGCCATCAAAATAAATTTGACTGTAAACATGACATATTGCTTCGGTTCGTAGATGAGTGTGATTGTATGATTGCGAAGCGCCGGAGGGGGAAGGGGCTATAGTCGAACTGGAAACAAGTTGGCTGGAAAGTCATGTGATGGGTCCAACTTGGATGCCACAGCGCTTGCATGGTTTGCATCAACTCTCCTCTATAACCCTTGGATATCCTCCTTTCCACTTGAGAATCAGTTGGAACACATTTCCTCTCCCAGAAATGTCATCGCTGATTCAGTTCATCCGCTCAATGATATATCCTATATTCATGCCAGTATGGTATTCGGGATATGTCGTATTTGGTTTTGTCTCGAGGGCTTTCCGTGCCGGGAGACTCCAGACGAATGACCCTGAAGACCCTCATATCTCTCCAGCGCCAATTTTAGAGACCGTGAGTTGCACTCGTCCTTTATTGACCTCGAAATATACTCATTCATTGCAGGACGACTTGCCTTTAGCTATAGACGGTCTCAACACAATGTCTAATGTTGAAATTATTCACGTACAAAGATATTACCCCCCAGGAGTTTCAGAGATTATCGGTCGTGGTGGCGAGTCTTTCATTGGGGTCCTTGATGAGTTTACTGTTCTGAAATACCCATGTATCCCTGGCAATGATGAGGGCATTCGAACGGAGGCTCGGCTTCTCGAGGTCGTTGGAAGCAATCCCAGAATTATTGCCTCAGGAGGTATAACGGAACATGGGCTTGTCCTACAGCGTGCCCTGAATGGAAGCTTAAACGACTACATCGCGACACAACCCGGTATATCACTCGCTAGAAAGATACTCTGGTGCAAACAAGCTGCTGAAGCTATTAGCTTTATACACGGAAAACATATCATTCATTGCGATATCAACCTTCGGAATCTTTTGCTCGACCACAATCTTGATCTCGTTCTAGCAGACTTCCAGGGAATGTTGAAGTCTATCGACGGCAGAGTTATATTGGATGGATTCTCTCGGGAGTGCTCCAAGTCATACATGCCTCGACCCCATGGGGATTATGCGTGTGTGACAACTGATATCTTTGCACTTGGCTCTGCTATTTACTTCATCATGATGGGCCATGAGGTCTTTCCGGAGCTTGACAGCTTGGAGGATGACGAAGAGATATTGTCTCGCTTCCGAAGTGGGATCTTTCCGAACGACAACCACGCTTGCTACGAAATCACGGAAAAATGCTGGAAGCAGCAGTATCAGTCTGCGGACGAAGTGGTTTCTGATATCTCTAACATTCAAGCCTCTGAAAGAATCACGGAGTAAAATCAGCAACAAGAACTTAAATTGACATTCAAGAAACTAGTACATAATGCTGCTGTTAAAAAACGTTTCCCAGATTTCCAAACTACAAAAATTTCTGCCAACTTGAACGCGGGTCGGATCTTGATCAATGCTTATATCTTGGTCTCAACACTTCGGGCATATTCCTCCCTTCTTGGTGCTTTGGCCCATATGTTTGTCTTTGTATCCACCGCAATCCGACTTGCCACAAGGTGGCTGAGGATCATATGTTATAATAACATGCTTCGGCTGCGCAGTGCAGTTGACAAATTTGGCGGTGTAGACGAATCGAATGCACATTTTCGAACTGAGCGGAGGACTTAAAATAGGCTAGCCAACATAAAATTGATGAAATTGGGAGCGAGAATTAGGGCAAAGAGCTTACTGTGGAGTGCGTCAGAGTTATTGCGTCGGTCTGATAGATTTAGATAATCGGGACGGGGCGGTAGGATGAATTTATAGCCAACGATCTTGCACGGACTATACGATGCTGAAATTTTTAACACGGCGACCCGAGAGGACAAAGCTTCAAACTGCAACCAGTTAGCTCCAATTTTTCAGAACCTCGAAGGAGTTATCTGTAGGCGTTAGCGTACTTCGCTCAGCTAGCGACTAAGGATCGAGTTGTAGTGGAGAATAAAGCGGGGTTGGGGGTTAGAGATAGAAAGATGATTGGTGAGAATCCTGTACTGGCCGGAAAGTTCGCGGAAGGGCCCCTATATCTATATTTTACATATGAAATCCTCTTCTCATCTAAGCTTATCTAAGAATCCATACGGATAATGCATTTTGCACAAGTTAGGGCAAAAATTAGAGGTTCATGCTGAGTGTACATCCTATACCGTACGTAGGCATTATTGAACATCTAGATTAAATCTGAAATCTATTGATGACACGCTCGAGCTCGTGTTCTCTCACGAATGTATTGAAAGAACAATGTCCGGGACCAAAATTCCGAGGCGGGACTGCAGGAAATCCTTTGCAAACTACCGCCCCTACCAGTAGGCGATAAGAATGAGCCTAGACCCTCGGTCGAGGCAGTCACACTGCATCCGCTGGAGTAGGAAACCAGCTGCTTAGGTTTAGGGACTAAATGCATGCAGCTCCTCGCATCATCTTGTTCATTCCCTTGGCAACCCCGCGACCGGTTCTAGCGCCACCTCTCCACCATTTAAATTGAATTGGGGGTGGGTCATGACCACATTCTGACCTTCAGAAGAGTCAGTGAACGTCTTCATAATCTAAGTGCTAGTTTCCAAGCGGCTCCTACGGACCGGGGAAGCGTACCATCTCCTCCAATGCAATTTCTATACTTCTTCTAACGATCTCCCTTAAATAATGCCTTAATTAAAGAATAGATTACGAAACAAGAGAGTTTAATAGGGACTGAACACGACCGCATCATTTCGCAGGAGCACATCGGACGCGCATATATGACAAAAGGATCGGTAGACAGTATGAATTTGTTATATAGCGGGAGATCGGTACCCAATCATTTAGCGCCTTACACTATCTATCACAATAAAGGTGCCTGAGCCTCACAAGGCGGAATCCGTGAGTCTCTGGCGATTGGACGCCCCTTGTGAAAGGAGTAACCTGTTGATCAAGGCCCGGACGCTAATGTATCCTCCCAAAAATGGGCAAGCGCAACCAGTGATACGGGGCGAGTGGGGGGGGGGGGGGGGGGAGGACGTTGCTCAAATATCAAACGATTTTCTTTCAAACACGTCAACATGACAAGCTCACAAGCAAGTTGCCATTCCATATTCTGCATTGATAGTACCGACAAGATGTAGTTTAATCAAGACATCCGCGCGAATCTTCTCAACATCAGTCGAATTATCAATGAAGCTGGAGACGATGTATGTATTTCGATGGCAGGACTTGAAATCGAATACTATATCTCCTAGGAACTTGGCCATTTGCTGGATAGAATCATTCGATCTCCAGACCAAATAGGTGCTCTTCACGATGCATTAAGCAAAAAGCTAAAGCACCGAACAAGAAAAGCCCAAGAGCTTGAATCCGCATTCAAGAAGCGCCGAGACTGGTTTCAAACTTTTGCATCAAGAGGTGGTAAAACGCTGAAAACAAAGAGGTCGAACAACTTGCCCGCATCACAAAAGGTTGGGAATTATCAACGAGCCAAGTCAATTCCTTACTGGCATGTTCAACGCTATGGGCTTCCTGTCCGGGGCTATTTTGGCATGGCGGTTCTCCTGACCAAAACGTCCTTCGGAACTGCTTCAATGACTTGGAGAGGATGTGCGACATTGATCCTTTACGAAGAAGAATTCCTTTGATGACACTTTCAAATAAAGTACAAGAGTGGATTCTCTACGAAGAAGACACTGCAGGTGCAAGAGCGCAGAAGCGGAAGATTAGTCCAAAGCGAGAAAGAGTGTTTCTTCCCGCGGCACTGCGCTCTATGACCAATGAACTTTGGCCCAACCTCAGTCCCGAGAATCAGGAAAGGATCAAGCAGAAGATTAAAAATCATTCTCGAGCTGGCTGGAAATGGCAACAACTAGCACATAAGTGGTTGTCGCTTTCTTTTCAAGATGGCACGGTGAAAGGGTATGTCTTTCGATATGCAAAATTATAGATCCAAGTGCTGACGTTTCCAGTTTTGAAAGGCATTCATGGACTTGCATAGAGGTTGAAGCGATAAATCGTTTTACGGAAACGCTTCCTCAATACCGCATTTGGTCATGTTTAGAGAAGGCCTTCGATTCTATATTGATCGAATATGCGGGAGCCTCAAGTCCACGCCATGATCAATTTAATGATACGCATGGCATTGTCCACGATTCAAATACTACAACATACAACCAGTCTCCAAATTGTACGCCCGTTTGGGAAAGATCACTTTCCCATGGAATATCTGGCGTCCCGATGCCCGGCGACCCATTATTCGAGGATACAGAGGCGGCCAGTATTATCTCAAGTATCTCGAGAAATCCTACCGCTTGGAAGAGTCGCCAGGGCATTCCTGCGCCGGACGAGGCTGGTGACCCGCCACCACCTAGGCCAACAGAACCTGTGACAACAAATGTTACGACTAGGAATATACCGCATTTTTCTGCTGAAGTGATCGCCGAGCCCGGGGGTGTCCTTCAGCTTCAACAATGTCGCCCTTCACTGGTGCCCGAGGCTCAAACCTCCGTAGAATGGGCCCAGTCATCAATGGAATTCCCGGAATCAATCCCCCCACAACAAAATTCAGTTTTCGAGTTAGCAAATCCATTCGTATCTTGGCAGCCAGACTCCTATGAGGAATTGGATTGGGGCGCCGCTCTTCGTGACAACACACTCGGAGATCAGAGTGGGGATGGCAATCTTCCTGGTTCGAATTTAAACCCTTTTCTGCTATGTGATTCAATAAACCCTTTTGCTTCGCTGGAGTTCGATTTGTTAACTCGGCAGATCGGTTGACTTTCGGGGAAGATGATGCAACTTTTGCTTCAGTTTCAAGATAGACGAGCGGCAAACACGAAGATACAAAAACCTGGCAAAGGTTCGAATGATTCATATTCAATATTCAATACAAGGAAAAACTTGTTTTCATCACATGCTCAATAACAACAATACTGCCAACCCTCCTGCTTTTCCAGAAAAAGTGATCCTCTCATGACCATCCAGACTCATGTCTTGGCCACTTTCCATTTCATGCAAGAGTCCATTATCCACACCCAGCTTTCCCAATGCTATCCAAACTATAATTTTCGTTTGGTCATCCGGAGACATACCCTGACTCATAGTTCCAGCACGCGGCATCTGAGCGATTGATATCAGAAACCATCGTAGTAGATGTGACCTCGGGTCAGGCAAAATATTCCGTTGAAATTTGTTTGCTACTCTTTCGATATTCGATCGGATCTGTGGATACTTAGGAATGGGCAACAACAGTTTGGTTAGAACTTACCTTGAACCAATCTACAACCACACATTCAACGTGCCTGTTTGGTTGCAAAATACGAAATGGATAATGTCTTCCAGTCGGATCCAAGTTTTCTGAAACAAGATCTTGCCCTGATGATCGGATCGTTCGTTCGGCCTCGTCCGAAATCGCAGGATTGACTGCTTGCTGGATATCTCTTTTCTTTGACTTTTCTTCGGACTCGTAGTTGGTGAATCGTGATTCTATTGCTTGTTGTATCTCATGGCTTGGCTCCATCGCTGTCTCAAAGCCAGAGCTGGCCTCTTGGAAGGATATAAGTTTTCGATGTGAAGAATGGCTGTTAATAGAGAACATATGCAGGCGGGGCAAGTTGAGGGGTGGTCTATCACGCGAGATAACCGAGTTTGGCCTAAAACTACGTGACTGTATTGGGCATTGACTTGAAGTAGTGATCTCGAAGGTTGGTAGGAAAATATTTAATTTGGGTTCAAAATACTGGACGTCTATTTTTGGTCTTTGATCTTATATTTTTGGACTCGAGAGAGAATCTCCTTCAATATCTACTCCTTGGGATGCATGGTATAAATCATGAGTATTTATTAAGATACTTGAGAGCAGACGCTCTATGATCTCAATATATTATACTTGCACAGCATATTTAGATCTGCAAATAAGACATAATTTCCCGGGTAATTATCTACTGCATGAAAGATATTGGCTTTTCGATTCATCGAATGGGAAAATTCCCTAGCAACAGGCTGATCGGAATCAAAGCGAGGAGTACGAACAGGTTGAAAAATGGCACCGTGCGAGATGGCGATGAAAATATAAGAATATATTCCCTCCAGAAATTGCTCTGTATCGCGTCACATCTCAATTACCGTGCAAGCAATGAATATCTG